GTAGAGCTTACAAGGGGTTCTCTGTTTTACCGCCCGTGACCGCTAAGGCATGGCGCTACTTACAAATTCCACACCCCTTGGCGGGAATTTTAAAATTTATTTTAAACTTTCGCGTGGCTTACAAGGGTTTTCTCTGTTTTTAAAAAAATACCCGACCGAGTGTAGTTCCCACTGCTGCCACCGCTAGATGGCGCTACTTGCAAATTCTAAACACCTATGACGGGAAATTTAAAAATTTAATTTCAAACTTCCAAGTGGCTTAGAAGGGGTTTTCTGTTTTACCGACCGATTTTTTAAGTGCCGGCTGCCACCGCTAGATGGCGCCACTAGCAAATTCAACTTGCTTGCGGGAAATTTAAAAATTTATTTGAAAAAATTCAAACTGCTTAAACAGTGAGCCGCCATTTTGTTTACCGACAGAGTGCGGTTTGAGTGTTGTGCCGAGAGATGGCGCCACCTGCGAATTCAAACCCCTATGGCGGGATATTTAAATTTTTATTTTTAAACTGTCAAGTGGCTTAGAAGGGTTATCTGTTTTACCGACCGATTTTTTTAAGTTCCGGCTGCCACCGCTAGATGGCGCCACCAGCAAATTCTAACCAGTTTTGGCGGGTAATTTAAATTTTTATTTTCATAGTTTTAAGTGGGTTAAAAGGGGCGCTCTGTTTTAACCGACAGGGTTCAACGATCAACCGATAGATAGCGCCACTAGCGAATTCCAAACCCTCTTGGCGGGAAATTTAAATTTTTAAACTTTCAAGTGGGTTAAAAGGGGTGTTCAACCTTACCGACCGAGTGTTGATATGGTTTGAGTGTTATCCAAATAATGGCGTCACTTAATTTTTATTAATGAAAGTAAGTTTAATTTTTTTTCATAAAATATTATTTATAAATATTTATTATATATAAAATATTAACTATTATCATTATTTATTGTTTATAAAAAATAATCAGTTGTTTATAATTAATATTTTTTTATTCTTAAAACTATTTATTTCATTAAGTAAGGTAAATTTAAATAATTTCTTATTTATTAATATTATTATTACTAGAGGTGTGCAAAAAGCTCGAAACCCAAAGCTCGAGCGGGTATTTTCGAGCTTTTCATTTTTCGAGCCGAGCCGAGCCTATTCAGTTCGAGCTCGAGCCGAGCTCGGGCCGAGCCGAGCTTTATAAAAAGCTCGAATAATTTCGGGTACTCGAATTTTTCGGGTACCCGAAACTTTCGGGTACTCGAAATTTTCGAGTACTCGATTTGATTCGAGCCCTTGAGAAAATCCAAAATTTTCTACATTAATTTTAATTAAATTTTTTTTTTTCAAAAAAAAAATTTTTTTAATTTAAAAGCTCGAATTAAATCGAGTACTTGAAAATTTCGGTTACCCGAATTCATTCGAGTACCCGAAATATTCGAGTACTCGAGTAAATTCGGGTACCCGAATGTTCGGGTACTCGAAAATTTCGGGTACCCGATACATCGAGCCCGGCTCGGGCTCGGCTCGACTCGAAAAAATTGCGGCCCGGCTCAGCTCGGCTTTTCGAGCTTTTTGCACACCTCTAATTATTACTATTATCATTATTTATTGTTTATAAAAAATAATCAGTTGTTTATAATTAATTTTTTTTATTCTTAAAACTATTTATTTCATTAGTAAGGTAAATTTAAATAATTTCTTATTTATTAATATTATTATTACTATTATCATTATTTATTGTTTATAAAAATAATCAGTTGTTTATAATTAATATTTTTTTATTCTTAAAACTATTTATTTCATTAAGTAAGGTAAATTTAAATAATTTCTTATTTATTAATATTATTATTACTATTATCATTATTTATGTTTATAAAAAATAATCAGTTGTTTATAATTAATATTTTTTTATTCTTAAAACTATTTATTTCATTAAGTAAGGTAAATTTAAATAATTTCTTATTTATTAATATTATTATTACTATTATCATTATTTTATTAAATGTAAATAATTTATAATAAAAATAAGTGAAAATATTACTTCAAACTAGAAATAAGCGTTTTGAATTCAATAGAATTTCAAATATCATTTTCGATATATTTAAATCGTTGTTACGTCTGCTCCAAGAGAATGGTGTCTCTCTATTGGTTAATTCTCTCATCGAGAATAAAATTAAATGATAACATGAAATTTTTAATTAAAATATTAAATTTATAAACTTTATTATAAATGTTCAATAATATGGATATAGTTAATAATTTTAATAAGTTAGAATTATTTATTTTTATTTTATTTGAGAAATCCACGTTTGTGATTTCCTCCTTTTTATAATACCTTCCTACGCGGCGCGAATTTCAAAGTTTTATACTATAATAATATATTAAATTAATTTTTATATGTGTACAAAAGTATTTTTTATTATGTAAAAGTATTTTAAAATAATTTCTCTATATATTAATAAGAAAAACTTGAACAATAAAGACTTTAAATAAAATATTTAAAAATTGTTAAACATGTGGGGAATCATTCTATAGTGTCACCCCTGAGCCGCCATATTTACTCCTAACACAAACAAAGTAATTGAAAGTCGAATACATCGTGCTACGTATCATTAATATTTAATATTTATAATGGTGAGTAATATTTGTTATTATTTTTATTATTAGTTAACTGCTTATTGTGCTGGATATGCTGTTTTATATTAAACAATACTGATTTCTTTAATAGGATTCAAATAAGCCTAAGTTCTGCATTTGCAATAATGTTGACTGTCAACATCAAGGACAGTATCGAGATTTTGTAAGTATATTTAGTTTTACTTTAAATCCCAGTAATTAATTAATTATTTCTAAATAATTGAAACATAACCTGACATTTCATTATTTCTTAATCTTTTGTTTTGACTCTTTTCCAAACAATCTTAATTAACTTTAAATCCCAGTAATTAATTAATTATTTTCTAAATAATTGAAACATAACCTGACATTTCATTATTTCTTAATCTTTTGCTTTGACTCTTTTCCAAACAATCTTAATTAACTTTAAATCCCAGTAATTAATTATTTTCTAAATAATTGAAATATAACCTGACATCTCATTATTTCTTAATCTTTTGCTTTGACTCTTTTCCAAACAATTTTAATTAAATTTTAATTGTTTTAATTATTATTTTCTAAATAATAAAAAAAACATAACCTGCCACCTCAGAATTTCTTAATCTTTGCTTTGAATCTTTTCCAAACAATCTTAATTAACTTTAAATCCCAGTAATTAATTATTTTCTAAATAATTGAAACATAACCTGACATTTCATTATTTCTTAATCTTTTGCTTTGACTCTTTTCCAAACAATCTTAATTAACTTTAAATCCCAGTAATTAATTATTTTCTAAATAATTGAAACATAACCTGACATTTCATTATTTCTTAATCTTTTGCTTTGACTCTTTTCCAAACAATTTTAATTAACTTTTAATTGTTTTAATAATTATTTTCTAAATAATAAAAAAAAACATAACCTGACACCTCATTATTTCTTAATCTTTTGCTTTGACTCTTTTCCAACAATTTTAATTAACTTTTAATTGTTTTAATAATTATTTTCTAAATAATAAAAAAAACATAACCTGCCACCTCAGAATTTCTTAATCTTTGCTTTGAATCTTTTCCAAACAATCTTAATTAACTTTAAATCCCAGTAATTAATTATTTTCTAAATAATTGAAACATAACCTGACATTTCATTATTTCTTAATCTTTGCTTTGACTCTTTTCCAAACAATCTTAATTAACTTTAAATCCCAGTAATTAATTATTTCTAAATAATTGAAACATAACCTGACATCTCATTATTTCTTAATCTTTGCTTTGAATCTTTTCCAAACAATCTTAATTAACTTTAAATCCCAGTAATTAATTATTTTCTAAATAATTGAAACATAACCTGACATTTCATTATTTCTTAATCTTTTGCTTTGACTCTTTTCCAAACAATCTTAATTAACTTTAAATCCCAGTAATTAATTATTTTCTAAATAATTGAAACATAACCTGACATCTCATTATTTCTTAATCTTTTGCATTGACTCTTTTCCAAACAATTTTAATTAACTTTTAATTGTTTTATTAATTATTTTCTAAATAATGGAAACATAACCTGCCACCTCATTATATATATAAAATTTTAATAAAATTTCTTTTAAAAATTTAGCAAAAACCATAATATATTATTATTAAAGAATAACATTTTTTAGGATAAATTGAAAGAAACACTGGAAACACTTGAGGCTATGGAGTATGTTCAGTATGATCCAAATGAACCTGGAGGCACTAAAAAAGAGATGAGTGGATGGGACTTGCCACCAAAAGAAGTAGCAGGAGAGATAACAAAGAAAAATTTTAATGATGTTGAAATAGAAGAAAAACATGGAATTATTGAAAATAAGAGTACACCATCTAATAGTTGCATATTGAAATTAGAAGATGAGATCCATAATCTTGAAATGGAAATTCTACAACTTCAAAAAGAGTTGGATCCAAATCTTGACGTACCACTCGATTTGATAGGAGTTGAACCTTTCCAGCCAGATCATGAACAAGTCAATATCCCACTCGATTTGATAGGAGTTGAACCTTTCCAGCCAGATGATGAACAAGTCAATGTCCCACTCGATTTAAATCGAGTTGAACCTTTCCAGCCAGATCATGAACAAGTCAATGTCCCACTCGATTTAAATCAAGTTGAACCTTTCCAGCCAGATCATGAACAAGTCAATATCCCACTCGATTTGATAGGAGTTGAACCTTTCCAGCCAGTAAGAATTCCATTCATATATGATTCTGAAGGTTATCCAGCCCCATGGATCCGTACCAGTACTAGGTCACGAATGATGACTTCACAACCTCGTCAAATAGAATTCATAAATGCATTGGAAAATATTGAAGGAGATCTAATGCCACCACGTGAAGATTTCATTCCACCACTTGAGGGACCAATTCCAGAACCACGGCATATTAGACGAATTGCTCATATTCCGCGGCATGCTAATCCGATGCTGCAAGCTCTACGACGTGCAGCACCGGTACCAAGAGCAGCACCGCGGCCAATACCAGCACCAAGAGTAGCACCGCAGCCAATACCAGCACCAAGAGCAGCACCGCGGCCAATACCAGCACCAAGAGTAGCACCGCAGCCAATACCAGCACCAAGAGCAGCACCGCGGCCAGTACCGGCTCCTAGACGAGCTATCCTCATCCCACCTAGAAATTTAAGGTTGACTTCTAGGCAACGCATTGCAAAGGCCATGCGAAAATTTGCAACTGCATCAAAAAAGAAGTAGCTTTTGATATTTTCTACGATTTTTTCAAGTTTTATTTCATTTTTTAATTATAAAGTTTTATTTTTGTTTACCTAAAGTCATAGAAAAAAGGCTAAGGAATTTTTATTATTTTTGTTTACCTAAAGTCATAGAAAAAAGGCTTAAGAATTTTCATTATTTTCTTTGATTTACATTTTATCATATAAGTCTTTGTTAACTTCTAGGCAACGCATTGCAAAGGTCATGCAAAAATTTGCAACTACACAAAAAAAAAGAAGTAGCTTTTGATATTTTATACGACTTTTTCAAGTTTTATTAAATTTTTAATTATAAAGTTTTATTTTTGTTTACCTAAAGTCATAGAAAAAAGGCTTAAGAATTTTCATTATTTTCTTTGATTTACATTTTATCATATAAGTCTTTGTTAACTTCTAGGCAACGCATTGCAAAGGTCATGCAAAAATTTGCAACTACACAAAAAAAGAAGTAGCTTTTTCCTACGTTTAAGTGTTAAAGTCCTATAAAACAAAACACTTGAGAATTTTTGTTATTCACTTTTCTATTATTTTTAAGGGAAACTACCTCACAAAACATAATATCCTTTTGTTAATTTTACATTGTATTTTTCTACTTATAGGATTGTAGAAGAGTATTTTTTTTTTAGTTTTGAATTCTTTGAACTGTTTATTAGTTTCAGTTTTTTTTACAAAGGATTTATGTAAACTTTAACATATTTATCTTTTGCTTGGTGTTTATTATCAAATTCTTTAATCTTTTTATTATTTTCTATTTTTTTTACAAATGCATTATGTGCTATTATGAATTATGTTGCTATTTTTTACTGTCACCTACTTTAACCTTTTTTTATTAGTTTCTGCTTTTTTTACAAATAAATTGTGTAAACTTCTCCATATTTAGCTTCTGCATGGTTTTTGTCCATAACATTAAATGTGTATATGTAAAAAAGTGTAATAGTTTATTCATATGTATAAATATGTATACTTATTTAGTTTTATTAATACATTTCTATTTTCTTTAATTGATTGTTATATTTTATTTTTCATGTATTCTTTCTTTATTATATTTTTTAAACCTTCAGATAACACATGTAATCTTTTTAACCTCACGCTCTTTTACCATAAGCTTTATATATATTCTAAAAATGTTGATAATAAGGATTTTCAAGTATTCATTGTTATTTTACAGAGTTTATACTATATTTAAAAAAATTCTTCAATTTGATTAGATGAATAGTTTAAAATTTGTTAAGCTTTAAAAAATGATTTTAAAAATAGGGGTTTATTCTCCTAGGGTTAAACGTCATTAGGTTTATAATACGGATTCAATTTTAATTTTATTCTGATTTTACTTTTATTCAACGTTAATTTAACTTTGATTCAACTTTTAGAAACATTGACTCAAGACTAAAAGAACTTTATCTTTAACATGATAATATTATTTTCATATAATTTAATACTAACTTATTATTTTATCTATTTTAATTTTTGCTTACTATTAATTATGATTTAACCTTAACCTAATTCTAACGTAATATTTAACAGATTAATAGTTTAGTAGTTTTTTAATTTTTCTAATAAAAAAAGGTTTCTTTATCGACAGTTTTTTTTAAATGGTTTTTTTTTTCTATAAAAAAAGTTTTTTAGTTATGTTTTAAAACTTTTATAATTGTTAATTAAGGAAGATTTCGACTATATCAGCAATTAGTGACATCTATTAGACGTCGATTGAACTCTTTGGTTTAGAGTCAGATGTTATTCTTAAGATAATTATTCCGATATGGTTGTCGGTAAATAACTATATTTTTTGAATTTAATTTTTGATCTGAAAAAATAAGCTGCGTGAACGACCTACATTTTATAATTGTTATTTACTATATAATTATATCTATTTATATATTCATTAAAAAAAGTATTTATATTATAAATTTGTGTATATATAAATAGAAGTCAAAATATAAATATTTTTATACAATAAATTAACAATATGTAAATTATTTTTCAAATGAATTATTTAGCATATTAATGTTCAAGGAAAGAAAATTTTTTTAATAACACTTAAACATGAAATAAATTTTATATCCTAGTTTAAAAAAATATTTCATTACATTAAATATAAATTTAACTTAAACGTAAAAATAGAATTTTATTATTTATAAATTACGTGTTAAGAAATCTTTTCAGATTAGTCTTTTTCTCTTTATATTGTTTAAATTTTTATTTTTATACTAATAATTTTCCTTTATTAATTTATAACCTATTTATTATTTCTTTTATATTATTGATTAACGTATCTTCTTTTTAAGTGTATGTGATTAATTATTAAAGGTAAAGAGTAAATTATAATTTGTTTATTTAAGTTTCAATTATAGTTATTTACTACCAAATTTATTCCTATAAAGTATATTATTTATAATCATAATTAATATATTTTTAGAATTAAAATTTCGCGCTTTACCGACGGGTAATAAGTATCTTCATAGCTACCATCAACGGCCGCAAAGCACAATCGTAAGAGTGCATAGTGGGGAGAGCGCGTGGTGGGGTTATCTCCATAAGTATTGTGCAACACAGCAGATGAGCTCATTCAGCTCATAGCGCAGCAGAAGGTGAACGAGATGGAGAACCAGCGGTGCGAGTGCTACAACTGCCTGATGCGGATGGTGTCACAGTACAATGTAAGTATTATTAATTAAGTAAGTAATTAGTAATAATTAAATTGTATTAATATAGTATATTTTAGTTACAGCACCCAGGGCGAGAGGTACCGCTTTAACCAATGCCCCCAAGGTACCCGTGGCACAGGCCAGAGACGCCACCACTGCAGCCGAGGTCGCCGACACCAGAGGCGCAGCGAACAGCGTCACCGCAGCCCAGGTCGCCGACGCCACCTCCACCAGAGGCGCAGCGAACAGCGTCACCGCAGCCCAGGTCGCCGACACCACCTCCACCAGAGGCGCAGCGAACAGCGTCACCAAGGGCGCCGACACCTCCGCATGCAAATGGAGGTCAGCGACAACGACGTCGCCGCCGTCAACGCGTCGTAATAAAAATTGTCATCAATAATTATATTAATAATAAGTTATAGTTCAGATGAATGAGAAAATTATATTAATAACAAGGTATACATATACATTTATACACGTGTACGTTTGTAACGAAGTATTTAAAAAATAATTTCATAAAAATATGAATAATAAAGGTTTAAAAACAAAAACATTCTCAAGAATTATTTTGACTTACCGAAAAATTTGAGTTATCGCGCTATACCTTATCGAGAGTTGACTGTATTTTCTTTTGGTTCGGTTTGTTTATTTCATATTTTATGTTGTGAGGTTCGACAAGTTAAATTTTTCTTTTGTTTTCTCTTACCTCTGCAAACCTCAATCGTATCCTCTTAACATTTGTTAGGCCATCGTTGGACTCCATCCGTGGTGGACTTTTTTTCAATGGATTTTTCCGACCTTTTCCATCAGTCAAATTCTGAGCTGTGAGATTTCGGTATAGTTCTACATCTCCCTATAGATTTATTAGGCTTCTACTTACCTTTGGAATTTAAGAATTCTTTTTATGTTTCAATTAAAATACATATTTTCCTCTGTCAGGAATAATCCTGGAAGGTTTGGATCATACTCCATTTCATCAATATTTTTTTTAAACAGTCCATATTGATTCATTGTTGATTCATTATTGATTCATTGTTGATTCATTATTGATTCATTATTGATTCATTATTGATTCATTATTGATTCATTATTGATTCATTATTGATTCATTATTGATTCATTGTTGATTCATTGTTGATTCATTATTGATTCATTATTGATTCATTGTTGATTCATTATTGATTCATTATTGATTCATTGTTCATTCATTATTGATTCATTGTTGATTCATTATTGATTCATTATTGATTCATTGTTGATTCATTATTGATTCATTATTGATTTAATGTTAATTAAATTTAGCACTGGCAGTGTAAAGGTCTGTTGTTGAAAACAGTTTTGATTTATAGAGAGGTTCTACGCTAACATTAATCTTTGATTGATTTGCTAGTTGATTGACATTTGCGTTAAGTTACTGGGGACGATTTGCACATTTAAATGAATAAATGTATGAAATGTTGATAGTATTAATAAATACTGTATTTAATTAAATACCCTCATTAATTTTAAATTTGAAGTAAGTGAGATTGAAATAGTTAAAACAAATGAATATATATTGTCATAGTAAAGTCATAAATAAATTAAAATTGAGTCAATGTTGAGTTAAAGTTAATTCAATGTTAATTTTAAAGCTTAACAAATAAAAACTAAACTAAACTATTAACTATAACTTAACTATTCATCTAATCAAATTGAAGAATTTTTTTAAATATAGTATAAACTCTGTAAAATAACAATGAATACTTGAAAATCCTTATTATCAACATTTTTAGAATATATATAAAGCTTATGGTAAAAGAGCGTGAGGTTAAAAAGATTACATGTGTTATCTGAAGGTTTAAAAAATATAATAAAGAAAGAATACATAAAAAATAAAATATAACAATCAATTAAAGAAAATAGAAATGTATTAATAAAACTAAATAAGTATACATATTTATACATATAAATAAACTATTACACTTTTTTACATATACACATTTAATGTTATGGACAAAAACCATGCAGAAGCTAAATATGGAGAAGTTTACACAATTTATTTGTAAAAAAAGCAGAAACTAATAAAAAAAGGTTAAAGTAGGTGACAGTAAAAAATAGCAACATAATTCATAATAGCACATAATGCATTTGTAAAAAAAATAGAAAATAATAAAAAGATTAAAGAATTTGATAATAAACACCAAGCAAAAGATAAATATGTTAAAGTTTACATAAATCCTTTGTAAAAAAACTGAAACTAATAAACAGTTCAAAGAATTCAAAACTAAAAAAAAAATACTCTTCTACAATCCTATAAGTAGAAAAATACAATGTAAAATTAACAAAAGGATATTATGTT